CTCGCGGCTGCCTGCGGGCGAGACACGGGTCACCGGCCGCCTGTCCCACATCCCAGGCCTGGGCACCGCCCAGAGTGGGGACAGGGTGAGTCCCCAATGCACCAGTCCTGGGCACCACCTGGGGGAGGGGGTCAGGATAAACCGGACACACTGCAGCCCCAGGAAGTAGGGGAAGCAAGCAGAGGAAAACCTTGGGTTTCTTCCAAACCAAGGAGGGCCGTCTGTTAACATTCACCCAGCTGGGTGCCCCGCAGGGGAAGCGCAGAGGGATCCTCCCAAACACACAGCAACAAATACCCAAAGAGTAGCAGATTCTCCACAGTGTCACTGTGCAGTTCCACAGCCCAAGGCACCACTCTCAGCTGCTCTAGAGTTCCCCTACCACTCACTCCTGAAAATACCCAAAACCGATTTCCAACACTGGGCATGAAAGGAGCCATTGAAGGAAAACCCAGAATTGGGGTAGCCTTCCTTAGACTTCTGTTCATGTTGGGTATTATTTTCATTTTGCCTTGCACAGAGGGCAGGGCCATGGAATTTGCTAGGCTTGGAGCCTCAAAAAGTCCCAGGCCCCAAACCTAAGCCAGGTACCACCAGGGGCCACAGGAGTTGTGGCCACACTAGGTTTTGCCTCACACCCCCTGTGGCTTTGTCAGTCACCCCCTCTTCTCCCTCTTCCATCCTGAGCACACAGGGGGACTCAGGACCTGGTTCCTCACTGTCCCAGGGGACAAGCCGTCAAGGAGCTTGCCTCTTCTCTCATCCCATATCTCTCTCATTCAAGAATATGGATGTTTGCGAACAGCCTGCTGTTCGTAATCCCACCTCTGCATCCACCCCACCACCCTTCCAGAGCCTCTGCAGCAAAGCATGACATCAAGAACCAAAAAAAGCTCAACCTAAAGGAAAAGGGGAACAAAGTTTTTCGTTCCCCCAAACTTGTAAAGCCTCTCTCTCCCTCTAATAGTAATCAGAGCTCTATTTGCAAGGAGGGAAAAAAAAAAGGCAACCATTCTGAGCTACCCTAAACTTTGCTTGTCCAAGAAGACATTTCTACATACAATGAGATGCCCCTTAAAAATGTACTAGGGGAGAGAGAGAGGGTTAACACCCAGCCAGCCGAAGCTGGGCCTGGAGGTGGGCTCAGGGGGCCTCACTTTCCTCGGCTGTAAAGTAAAGGTATTGAACTAGCTGTCTAAGGAAAAAAGAGGCCCCTTCTGACACTGAAATCCCTGTACCAGAATGGGCTTCTCTTGCGCCCACTCTGAGAGCTTGCTAGTCTTTTTTTTTTTTTTTTTGGGGGGGGGGGGAGAAGCATAGAACAACTGG